TATATAATGAGTGAGATGTGCACCATCTGGGGGATGGTCATGCTGGAGACTCAGACTTGTGGGGGGAGGGGGGAAATGGGTATTTATTGAAACCTTAAAATCTGTACCCCCATAATATGCCGAAAAAAAAAAGAAATTCTATGACAAATAAAAAAGTTGAAAGCTGTACAGAGACAAGTTATTACTGAGATATAATAGACCATAATATTACTTAATCTTAATTAGAGGCCCCAAGGTGGATGACATATCGAACAGGAATAGATTGAGTTAGAAATATGCACTTGATTGCATGAATAGAGTGTAGTAAATGTTTTATGGTTTGAGCATTCTAGTTGTACCTAGTTGGGGTATTACTATTTTATTTATTTCAAAGCCTTTTTATGTAGCACTGGGGAAAAATCACAATATGACCCCCCCCCCCGGATAACTGTGTGTGGGAGAGAGGAAGAATGTAATTCTGAAATACCTCCAGACTGACCTCCCCAATCACAAATATGGAATTAAAGTACAAATCTTCAGGGGGTGGGGGGATACCACCTAAACTAGTATCCTGGGGACAGTGGAGGAACACTGAAGAACTAGGAGGGTGACAGGAGTCCCCAGTAATATTCTTTTCAGAACCACACTTCCTCTCCATCATATGGATTAGAAGCCTTAATCTACAGAGATGTGCAGCATATTTAGAAGCTAAGAAGACTGACTGAACTTCCTGAGCTGCAGTAGAGAAGATTTGGGGAGAAACAAGAAGACACTCTACCCTAGAGAGAGGAAAGAATACACAGACCAACATCACATCTGGATTAGGGACAGGGATGTCTGGAATAGGTCACTGTGTCAAGGGGCATGACACTTGCCAAGGAATTTGACTCAGTGAGAAAGTCAAGGTATGCCATGTCAATCAACACTTTCCACCATGTTGACAACTGTCCGGTAAATTTAAAACTAGAATGCACCTTGGGAAGATGAAATAGTTGTTTCTAGTAAAACAAAAGGTCAAAACACAGAGCCAAATAGGAAACAAAAGCAGGGTATCTCTGGAGGGTACCCAACACCCTTTGTGGTCAGAGCAGAGAACACCTTTAACACAAGGAGCCATGGCATCAATAAACATCAAATGCAGACCTGAGTAGATTCACAAGACTTCCATAGTATATGCCTAGGAAATATAGGTTTGGTCCTATACAGGAAGAAATGTACATAAAATAATAAGCCAAAATCAACTATCAAACCCAACATGTCTGGCTTACAGAAAAAAATTGTAGGATATGCCAATACAATTTAATAAATCATAATGATAAATTATCAAAATGAGGTTCATACATGATGCAGACAGTAGAACTGTCTGATTTAAAAGGAATGTGAAAGTAACTGTAATCAATATCTTAAGATGTGTAAAGGTGAGTATAGCCATGCTACAAAACTAGACAGCTGACTTGAGCAGAGAGATGGGTATTAAGAGAGTCAGATGGAAATATGTAGAGCACTTTGCAGTGAGAAGTAAACAAGAATCTCACAGGCTTGTCAGCAGAGTGGTCTTACTTTTCAAAGAAACCATGATCTTGGAAATAGGCCCAATGAATTACACAGCATAAAATGCAAACAGAGAAACAGAGAAGTAAAAGAGCATCGATATCCAAGAGCATAATATAGACATAACTAGAATCCCAAAAGAGGAGGGAAATGCATATTGAAATACATATTGAAGAGGTGATGGTCACTAATGTTCCAGACCTAATGGCAGACACGTTAGTCACAGATACAAGAATCTCAGAGAACCTGCCATAGGATGAACTTGCACACACACACACACACACACACACACACACACACAAAACACACAAATAGCCCCGATGCATACATGTGCATGTGAAAAAAACTAACATAAATTTCCCATTGAAAACACATTTTCCTCTGTATTTTCATTAATTAGTTCATTTATTTAATTATATTTCAGAATACTGCAAGGACACATTTTGGTTACATGAATTGCTTTTGTACAGTTGAGTCAATGCAATTCCCATCAAAATACCACCAGATTTCTTTACAGATCTATAAAAAACAATCCTTCAATTTGTATGGAACCAGAGAAAACCACACATAGCCAAAGCAATCTTAAGTAAGAAAAACAAACTGGGAGGGATCAGTCTTCCTGACTTTAAGCTGTACTATAAGGCAATAATAGTAAAATCTGCATGGTACTGGCACAAGAACAGAAACATCGATATCTGGAATAGACCTGAGATTCCAGAGATCAAACCATCTGTATATGGTAACCTGATCTTTGATAAAGCATACAAAAATATACTATCAGGAAAAGATTCTCTCTTCAATAAATGGTGCTGGGAAAACTGGTTAGCAGTATGCAGAAGAGCAAATCAGGACCCCAACCTCTCACCCCTCACAAAAATTCACTCAAGATGGATAACACACCTAAACTTAAGACACAAAACTTTAAGAATTCTCAAAGAAGATGTTGGGAAAACCCTATCAGATATTGGTCTAGGCAAAGAATTTATGAGGAAGCCCCAAAGGCAATCACCACCACAGCTAAAATAAACAAATGGGATCCGATCAAATTAAAAAGTTTCTGCACTACCAAGGAAACGATCATTAGAGCAAATAGACAACCCACAGAATGGGAGAAAATATTTGCTCTCTACACTTCCAATAAAGGTCTAATAACAAGAATCTATCTAGAACTTAAAAGAATAAAAAAGAAAAAATCAAACAACCCCATCAAGAAATGGGCAATGGAAATGAACAGAAAATTCTCCAAAGAAGACAGAATAATGGCCTGCAAACATATATATAAAAAAAAATGTTCAACATCTCTAATCATTAGAGAAATGCAAATCAAAACCACAATGAGATACCACCTAACCCCAGTGAGAATTACCTGTATCAAGAAATCCCAAAACAACAAATGCTGGCGAGGATGCGGAGAGACAGGAACACTCTAACACTGCTGGTGGGACTGCAAATTAGTACAACCTTTGTGGAAAAAAATTTGGAGATTCCTCAAACAACTAGAAATAGAAATACCATTTGACCCAGCAATAGCATTGTTGGGCATCTATCCAAAAGAACACAAGTCACTCTATTATAAAGACATCTGCACCCGAATGTTTATAGCAGCACAATTCACTATTGCACGAACATGGAAACTACCCAAATGTCCGTCAATTCATGAATGAATAACTAAAATGTGGTATATACTCACAATGGAATATTACTCAATCCTAAGAAACGATAGTGAACTAGCACCATTTATGCTATCGTGGATTAAGCTTAAGCCTGTAATACAAAGCGAGATGACACAAGACCTGGAAAATGGGCTACATATCTACTCGCCATCGAATTGGTACTGACAGCCTAAAACTATGGTGCTCAAATAATTGTAGTGTTCAACAGGGGTCTGAGGGGGGAGACCCACATCTTAAGGATGTAATGAGCATTGTAGAGGGGGAAGGATTACCTCTATCCCTTTTTATGGAGAGGCAAAGAAATACACTGTAACAAAAATGTCTTAAAAAAATTGTTAATTGGAGGTGAACAGGTGGAAGGGGGGGAGAAGGGGAAGGGTACACACTTTCATGGTGGATGAAGGACGCACCACTTGATGACTAGACATGCTTGAAGCTCTGGCAGAGCGAGGTGGAGAGGGGAGCAGGGGCAAGATATGTAACCCTAACAATTTTTGTACCCACAGAATTTGGGGGAAAAAAGTTATAATTTGCCCATCAGCCAGACAGAGTGCACTGTACACAGTAGGCATGAATTCACTCATCTCTTCCTCCTCCCCTGCTTGATTTTGAAGTGTCTCCTGTATTATTATTTTTTGTTGTTAATTTAACTACAATTTTACCTGTATGAGTATGAGGTTGTGGTTGAAAATCATATTCTTCTATGTGTAAATCTGTCTATTCCAATCTCAATATATGAATATATTAAAATACATATTCTGGTACAAGTAAAGGTTAATGCCATCCCTGGAAAATGTAGGATTGGCAAGTACAATGACATTGAATTCTAAATTCTGAGTTGGTTTATTTCTTATTTATGAGAATAACATCCTTTCTGAAAACCAGGGTTTACTAATAGTTCTCACAGCCCAGGCTGCAGAAGGCTCTCAGGCTGGGTTCATGGCCCACCACCACAGGACTCCTGCACCTGGCAGACAGAATGATCCTGAGTCTAAGTCCAGGGGGCAGGTGCACAGAGACAAGCCCCCTCCTGACCAGCTCCTGCTATGCACCCACAGGGAGAGCAGATGGTGCTCACTCTGCCACACCAGTAGAGGCAGGTGTACAGGGCGGGTGTTATTCCTCCACTCCTGAGACAAGAGCCAGAGGTGGGGTGCTGCCACCCAGACCAGGGTGTTGTGGGGAGCTGTTGTGGTCAGCTGCAGTAGAACTTCTGGATTCAGTGAGAATGAAGAAAAGGAGCTCATTCACCACGTATGAGACAGGAACAAAGGGAACTGCTACCTCATTGTGTGGATTTCCAGGGAGACCAAGAGCTTTGACAGAAGAGTGAGGAGGAGGAACCATCTCAGGATGGATGACCAATAGCCAGGCAGAAGGGAGGACACACTGAAATGATGTTTCTTCCCCACAAAAGGCAAGAAAAAGGCAGGGGATAAACAAACCCCCAGCACATACAAAGCTGTGTCTCCAGAGAAGTGTTTGCACCTAAATGACCAACAGAGCATAGCAAACAGAGAACCCTTCATCACTCTAGAGTGTAGTGTGGATTTTCCTTACTGTAAAGGTATTATTGAATATTTATCGACAGAAAATAACTGAAATAAAATAAGGCTTAAGTTTATATTAAAATCAGGTCAGAAGCCATCCAATTGTAGATGAAAGAAGCCAGGACATTGCAGGGAAAAAAACACCACAAGTCCTGAGGAAGACTAAGAACGGGCAGAAAGAAAGGAAACAGCAAGTTCTAGAAGGAAACCTCAGCTTCCCTCAGCACCTGCTCAGGCACTGGGGATCAACGCCTTGGTGGCCCCACCAGCCCCCACAGGAGGTTTGTGTCTGGGCTCACACTGATGTCCTGTCACCGTGTCTCTTGCACAGTAGTACACAGCCGTGTCCTCTCCTCAGCTTTCAGACTGTTCATCTGAAGATACAGTGTGTTTTTGCCGTTGTCTCTGGAGATCGTGAATCGGCCCTTCACAGCATCTGCATAGTTTGTGCTACCACCATTAGGATTAATGTGTGAAACCCACTCCAGCCCTTTCCCTGAAGCCTGGCGGACCCAGTACATTGAGTAGCTGCTGAAGGTGAATCCAGAGGCTGCACAAGAGAGTTTCAGGGACCCACCAGGCTGGACCAAGCCTCCCCCAGACTCCACCAGCTGCACCTCACACTGGACACCTGCAAACACAGAGACATCCTGGTCAGAAAATGTTACAAAAACATGCTGTTTCTCTCATTCACATCCACTCACACACCAAATATCTCCAGTTCTCCATGAATTACCTTGTAACAGAGCAACAAGGAAAATCCAGCTCAGTCCAGACTCCATAGTGAGTCTCTCTGTTCAGTCGTTATCACCAAATGGGGACACCTGGGAATGCCGGGGCTGGGGCTCCTCTCCCAGAGCTGCAGGGTGAAGGCTGGGGTGGTTTTCATCAGCAGAGGGAGGGCCCTATTCGCATGTCCCCTGCTATATAGCAAGCTCTGGGCTGGGAGACCTGAGGAGGGGGCAGCACCCAAGAGCAGATGTGAGTGTCTTGCAGACATTAGTGAAATTATTAGCACCCAGGGTAATATTAATTTTGTTAAGTTATTGTGTCATAGTATGCACTTTTAATTCATTATATTAATTTGTTTTAGACATACATAGAAACATGTCCTGGAGGCTGACAGCATTCATTCCATTCTAGAAACAGGAAATTGCCAGCCAGGTGTGGTAGCCCATCTTTAATTCCAGAACTTAAGGAAGATCAGGAGAGGCCAAGAGACCAGCCTGAGCAATATGGCAAGATTCTGTCTCTACAAAACATAACATCAATAAAAATAGGTAAGCATGGTGGTGCAGGCGTGGACCTGCAGTCCCAGCTATTGGGGAGGTTTAGGCAGGAGGATTGTTGAGCCCAGGAGCTAGAAGTTATGGTCAGCTATGCTTGGGCCCCTGCACTGCACCCTGGGAAACAGAGTGAGACCCTCTATCTTAAAAAAAATAGGGAGGAATCATAATTGAGTTGAGCAATGTGCTCAAGAGCATATGTCTAATAAGAGTGCCACAGTCTCTGGGCCTGTTTGTCCTATTCACCACTGGACCGAACTCCCCTGAGAACAGAGTAGGATATGTTCATTCAGGTCCACAGAACCTTGATTTCTGTCACAAGAACCCAATGTGATTTTTCTTCATTCTAGTGTTTACCTAAACTTCAGGATTGTGTAAACCTGTGGGCCTCAGCATCCCCACTGCAATTGAGAACGTGCGTCCATGTGAGTGGCTCAAACCAGCTAACCAGAAGCAGGTTTGCACATGGCTGTCAAATGAAAGTGCTACTACAGTGTGTGCAGGTCTGGGGAACATGAATATGGGTGACACATAAACCTCTGTAGTATTTTTGCATTCAATTTTACCCAGTTGGACCCACAAATGGACACTTTGGTCCACATTGGTCACAAAGGCTTGAGAAAATAGCTAGCCCCCACCTCCACAGAAGCCACAATGTGTCAGTGGGTCAGACTTAACTGTCACCACTGAAGCCTTCTCTGTCATCATCCTCTTTATCCATCACCATCCACCCCCAGCTGCCCCCTGGATTCTCCTAAAACATGACCAGCAATGCAGGAGTTGCTATTTTCTGTGTGTCTAATGGAATTATCTACACCTTAAGCACTTAAACCAGTGGTTACTTTGCCACTGTCAGGAATTTGGTTGATGCAAATTCATCCCATTCTACAAACAGAAAATTACAGGCCAGGTGTGGTGGCCTGTCTCTAATTCCAGAACTTTAGCAAGTTCTGGAAGTTCTTTACAAAGTTCATTGCCCTGTTGAATGTACTCAAATCAGCTCTCAGATGTTGTCTACTGCAAGCTTCATGCTGTGGTTCCATCTTTCATCCTAAGTGGTGATTTGCATGGGGCAGGCACATTCGCACATAAAGATAAAGGAGCAAAGGAGAGAGCCCTGTCCACAGGGCTGCTGCTGAGAGAAGGATGCTGACTGACCCCTTGGGAAGCATAGTCCTTTCCCAGTGTTGACTTCATTAAGCCAGGGCTCCTTTTCTTCCAGCCCAGAAGTTGAATGTGACCAAAAATAACAAATGATTGTGGGAACAGGGCCAATATTCTTTTACTTCCAGAAATCTATTATCTGTCTACTTACCTACCTACCTATGTATCTATCTCTTTCATTTGTCATTCCTCACCATACATACAGGGTCACCTAAATTATTGACTACTCATCAAGATACATTTGCATTTCTCCATTATCTCGTGCTTCAACTTCTGAGTTGTGTGCAATCTAATGTTTATCATAGTTCAAAACAGCTTTACCAGCTGTCC